AGAAACAACAATTCATGAGTTCTGCCTGACCCAAACTGTGGCCTTGACGCCGGACTTATCTCAACTCGTGTTTTGAAAACAACAAAGATGCTTTGTCTGTCTCCTCAACCTTCCCTCCCCCAAGGCCGTGGACATGTGACAGAACCTCAACTGAGCTGAAGATGAACGTCACCTCTTATCTGGACAATGGCTGAGGGGGGGCTCTGGACTATGCTACAACTTTCCCTTAAAAATTCAACTTCTTCACCGGCCTATATGTTCATGTATAACGTCTGTTTATGTTGCTTTGCTGTGGGAGGTTTGTTTGATGCCTCAAATTGTGCCCTGTCTAGGACACAGCGTGAGAGATCTTTTTTTTATACCGTCTCTCCTCATGTTTTCTTTCCTTTTCTCATCTAAGCAAAATATTATTCTGAATAAGAATAAGAAGGCCGCGCTATTTATAGTTGCAGCTTCGTGCACTCTGCCCATCTTTCAGACAACTGTACGTACATGTTCTTGTTGTATCTCAGTGCAATGATAATAAAAGTTTATTCTGATTCTGATTCTGGGAGATTGTGGACCTCAGGTCTGTAGACCAGTCATGGGGGACTGTGGACCTCAGGTCTGTAGGACAGTCAGGAGGGACTTTGGACTTTAGGTCTGTAGGACATTTAGGTGCTGTTGACCTCAGGTCTATATCAATCAACCTTTATTTCTACAGGTAAATCCCATTGAGCCTCGAGGACTCATTTACAAGAGAGACCTGATTTCAACAAAGAAAGATGACAACAATGGACAACAGCAACAACAATAAACAGTTATAAAAAGTCATACCGCAGGTTTTTTTTTTTTTTTTAACAAATAGGATGGCTAAAAGGAAAAGGTAACAAAACAAAAAACAGCTAGATTCCAAGACAAATGTAGAAAACTAAAAACAGGAACATGTCAGCATTGGTCCCTGCCAGGAGTCCAACAGATTCTTAAAGACACTTAGAGAGGTCAAAGGTCGAGAGCTTCAGATCTTTTTACAAGATATTCCAGGAAACAGGAGCGGAATAGGAGAAGGTCCTTTTGTCTAGTTCAGTCCTCACTGAGGGAACACTGCAGGTAATGATGTCCTGAGAGCGCACGCTGTAGCTGCACTCACACAGAGACATGTAGGAGGAGATGTATGAAGGCAGCAGACCAAGAAGTGATTTAAAGATGAAAATGTACCAGTGAGAGAGTCTGCGTGAAGTTAATGATGTCCAGTTAACCAGTGAATACAGTGTGCAGTGGTGGGTACGATAATCACAGCCAGTTATGAATCTTTAAATAGGACAGTCAGGAGGGACTGCGGACCTCAGGTCTGGAGGACATTCAGGAGGGACTGTGGACATGATCCTTAGACTCATTAGGAAGAAAGGAAACCAGTTTCTGTAATGTTCTGTAAACCTTCATTTCCAGTTTGTTTTACGTTTCTGTGTGTGGTTTCTCTGGGTTCTGGTCTTTGGTCTCTGTTGACTCCTGCTGATTTATTGGGGGTATTTGGTCTGTGTGTCCCTGCTGACCCCTGCTGGTTTCTTAGGGGTCTTGCAGGCCGTCATATTGCTCAAGCCCAGCTGATGCAGTCGTGCCTTGCTGCAGTGAAGACCTCCATATTGGTCCTTCAGAGGTCTCAGGACTTGCTCAGTGGAGCTCTGCAGGCAGATCAGGACCTCAGGAAGCCAGAAGACATGCTGGGCGGTCTTCTGAGCTGCTACATCCACATCCTGACTGATGGTAAGAACAAGTCTTTATGTGAACAGAAAAAGTAACTTTTAGAGGACGTGAGTTTTTCTTGTCTTGTGTCTCCACCTGTAGCGGACTTCATTCAATCCGTCCAGAGCACTGCAGGGATGGCTATGGTTCTGCTGATTCGAACTGTCTTGTTATCTGGAGACCAGGTGGCTTCTGTGGTGAGTTCTGAAACAAACCTGAAGTTCTGGGGAAGAAACAAATTAAACTACCTTTAAATTCTTTATGTTGTGATGATGGAAGCACATTGAGAGGGGGCCACAGATCAGTCTAAATAAGGGATTTGTAAGGTTCTGATTGTGGATTTGGTGGATCCAGGTCTGCAGTTTACTAAGGGGTTCAGATCAGGGTTTGGACTCAGCTCCTGACTGGCTGAGGCAGACCTGTGCCAGTCTGTGGTCCAGAAGACACCCTCCAGGTGTCTCTCTGTATATTTGTCATGGAGCTCTTGCCATGTTGAACTGGAAAGGGGCCCTCGCAGGACCACAGTGGGAAGAACTGCTGCTGCTGGTCCCAGAGACTCTGCTGGACCTGGACGTCAGGTGAGTGTTTTAAATAAATCATGAGACTTAAAGATCCAGAGCCATGAAGTTCCTCTTTGTCTTCCTGTTAGTGTAAAGGAGTCCAGCACCGCCATGGTGGTGGCCCGGGGCCTGACCTTGTGGAGCAGTGCTGCTCTGGACTGTCTTCAGGAGGAGACACTTCTCTGTCCCCCCAGTCTCCAGATGTCCCTGGGTGGAGGCTCTGAGCTCCAGAAACACCTGCTGGAGCACATTTACTCCCACTGGGAACATCCTCTGGATGGAGTTCGCCATCAGACCTGCACCCTGTTCCGGAACCTGCTCCTCCTACATCAGCGCACCATCAGAGACCCAGGAGAGGACCCATACGTCACAGAGCTCACCTCCAGCCTGCTGAGCCTGCAGTGGCAACTGAGGGGGAAGTATGGCTCTTTGGGCTGCCTGGTGGAGCTGTATGGAGCCCGGTTCTTGCTGAATGTCCAGCCCCAGCTGCCTTCAGACCTCCTGAGCCTGATGGGGGACCAGACCCTGGCTCCGTATGCCAGTGATCTGCTGGAGAAGCTGTTCCTGAGCCACAAGGAGCAGCTGGAGGCTTTGTCAGGCTCTTCTGAGAACTGGCTGGAGCTGTGGCACCAAACTTGGGTGACCCCGCTGCTAAATGTTCTGTGCCTCACAAAACCGGATCAGAATACCTACATCCTAGACTACATCCTGCCTAAGCTGCTTCGCTGCAGCCCATCCAGCCTGGCCCACATGATGCAGGTTCTGCAGGATCCTCTTCTCTGCAGAGCAGGTCCAGGAAACGCTGGCGTTCCCTCAGAATACCTGAAGTTCCATGTCACCAGAACCTCGTCAGACCCGTGTTCTTTTTAATCCCTTCAGGTCCTTCAGGCAGCCGGGGGCCTCAGGGAGCCCTGATCCTGTGTCTGAGAGCAGCCCGGACCCAGGGTGTGGTGACGTTAACCGACAGGGGTCAGTGGAGGGGACTGGTACCGGTCTCCTTGCTACAGCAGGCTCTGATCCACAAACAGGACCAGGTGAGTCTCATCCTTCATCTGAATCCACGTCCTCTGGGGTCTTTCTGTTGGTCATCGTGTTTGTCTCAAGGTGAGGATGGACGCTCTGGGACTGGTGTGTGAGAGCCACCGGAGCACAGAGGTTCTGGCCTCACAGGAAATGGACCTGATCCGCCACTTCCTTCCAGCGAACCTTAACAACCAATCAGCGGGCGTAAGGCAGCAGAGTGTCGGCCTCATGAAGAAGGTTTGTTCCTAAGACCTGGGTCCTGTGGTTCTGAGACCTGGGTCCTGTGGTTCTGACAAGAAACACTAAATTCTAACATTTTCTTCACAGCTACTCTGCAGAGTCAGAGACAGCACCCAGCTGCTGCAGAAGAGACTGCTCCAGGACCAGATGGACCAGGACCAGAGGGACCAGGACCAGCAAACCCTCCACAGATACCGGGTACCCCACAGCAATTAAGATCAGAGCTGATCCTCGTGGACTGAGGAGGAGACTCACTGTGTTCTGTCTGCAGGAGTTCCTGCGCTGGCTGGTTGAGGAGCTGCTGGAGGAGCTGCTCCCTGGAGCTCCGTTCTCCAAACTCCTCGTGACGCTCAACTTACTGAACCTGCTGGCTCAGACCTTCACCTTCTCTGCTGGTACTTTACCTCCTCCTCCTCCTGCTCCTCCTTCTCCCGCTCCTCCTCTGCCTCCTGCTCCTCCTCCACCTACTCCTGTTCCTCCTCCTTCTCTGTCTTCTGCTCCTCCTGCTGCGACCTCTGTAGTCTGGTTGTTAAACGATGCTCTGGAAACGTGTCTCCTGTCTGCAGTGTTCCAGGTGTGTTGGATCTGACTCTTCTCCTCATCAGCAGCTCTGACTTCATCCTCGAAACATGAATCTGAACATGAACCACCTGAAGAATGATGAGGAATTGTTTTTAACAGTCTTTTTTATTGATTTTTTGGTTTTTGAACATACAAACAAGAACAAAGCACAGAAGTCCCACACCGGATCAGTCACACACACAAACAGGCATTGACCAGTTTTCCACATACAACATAAAAAGCTGCCAAGCGCCCCAAAATCTTTTAACAGACAGGGTGTATCTGATTTTTTTCCAGATGAATATGACACCACTGGGGGGGGGGGGGGGGGTCTGACCAGAAGAGTGCCAGAAGCAATCACATCATTCTTGTAAAAAAAAACAAAAAAAAAAAAACTGTCCAGATTACCTGACTGAAAAATGTTGGATTGTATACCTGGATTATTGAGCATGGACTTTGTTGTTTTCAACCAGTTTGACACGACTGTCAACAAGGAAGAGGGCCGGCAATGGAGGAGGGGGCGTGACAAAGAGACCATCTTATCACCAACATAACTGGTTTGTTCCACTTTGGAGTAAGCTGTTGGGGGAAGAATCAGTTTTGTGTTGTGCGTTTCCTTGACTGATGAAGCCTTCTGGATGGAAGGTGAAACGTTTCAGCACAAAAAAAAAAAGAAACTGTCCAGATGACCTGACTAAAAAATGTTGGATTGTATACCTGGATTATTGAGCATGGACTTTGTTG